TAGACAGGTTTTTGAAGGAGATGTTCTATTTTTCATTGTTACTGTTTTGTTTTTTGATATGACATACGTGGAATTTTAAGTTACACATATTCATTACACTTGCTGTAATGATTTCTAAAGGTAATTCTGAGGATCTTTTCCAGCATTTATAGAGTTAAACTTGAGAAGCTTTCTTATGTGAATGTTATTGCCATTGTATTCTTGAGGCTGATGCAATCATAGTAGTCCCTCTTTATCTATAGGAGATTGGTTCCAGCACTTCGGTGGATATCAAAATCCAAGGACCCGCAAATCTTTTATATAAAATGGCATAGTATTTGCATAAAATCTGTGCACATCCTCCTGTATACTTTCAATCATCTCTAGATTACTAACAATGCCTAATACAATGTAAATGTTATGTAAATAGTTGTAAATTCAATGTAAATACTATGGAAATAGTTGCTGGTATGTAACAAATTCAAGTTTTGCTTTTTTGAACTTCTTGGAATTTTTTTTTCCTGAATATTTTTCGTCCACAGTTGGTTCAATCCACATACTGAACCCTAGGATACAGAGGGCTGATGTAACTTCTTTTCCCCTCACTTAATCTGGAGAACCCAGTTAAATTTTTTCATTATACTTTTCTTATGTTGCTTTTACATACTCTTAACTTTTCCCTTTTTCTTACACAATTTAAATCCCATTTGTAAGTACCATTGATATTTTTCTCATACATATTTTTTCTTCCCTGTGTCTAATAATGACTGAAATTTTCTTCAGCTATGTGTACTGTTACTTTTTTGTTTGCCTGAATGCAATTCTAAATATGTAAAAATATTTATTCTGATGTGAGTCTTTATAATTATGGCTTAGATTTATTGGCTTGCTCCTAAAATGTTCTCAGAGTAATTTTTTTCCTATTTTTAATTGGGACCTATAAAACATTGAACAAACTTTAAGGAGATAAGATCTATGTCCAAAATTCGTATCTCAAATTTTAGAGGTATTCTTTGGGGATACTTTAACACTTACCCCCTCCTTTTAAAAGAAGTTAAACTCACAGATATCTGTACTGTTCTTTCAGCAACATTTTTTAGTTACCAACATTAAGTTAGAAAAATGTTTGTTAATTCTTGGTAGTATCAGAGCAGGAGTTTGTTTTTTTAATTACTGAAGTAATTGTCCCTTAGTATAAAGAGTAATTTTTTATCATG